CAGAATTTCTGCTTGCAACTTGGTAAGATTCATCCTTCTGGCTCCCCCTGCCCTACTGATGAGTGAACTTTGTGTCTCTTTGCCACCTTTTTCGCCAGTATTTTTCAGCATTCTACCATCAAGGTTTATCTGACAGCGGTATGCTCTCTACATATCGAACTGTGTTTTCCTGATCCTCTTTTTGATTGTTACAATTGTAGCAAGTGCTCAGAAGAATTAAAAGAACTAAAGGTGACTCTTTCTCATTACTCCTACCAGTTATAGACGACCTCATGGTGGTGGTTTTCCGGGCTTTGGACTTGAGCCTACCAGACCATTGTATGTTTTGGGCAGCGTGTAATTTGGCGTACTTTGGTTTCCGTCACTCGGAGGAGTTGACAGTTCCTAATTTGGCCAGCTTTTCATCGGCTATCCATTTGGGGTTAGCTGACATTGCAGTTGATTTGGATGTTTCTCCCTTGTGTCTAAGGGTTAGGATCAAGGCATCCAAAACTGATACTTTCCGCAAGGGCTGCTTCGTGTACATAGTTAGAGGAGAGTATCCCCTGTGCACAATCCACTCTCTCTTGGATTATCGGTCGTTGAGGGGAGATGATCCAGGCCCTCTGTTTCTGTTTCGGGATGGGCAATCGTTATCTTGTGCAGCACTCTCTTTGTGACTGCATAACATCTTATCCTCAGAAGGGGTCCAAGGCACTTTTTCCAGGACTGCAAGGACTGGCAGTCCAGTCCTTCATATTCAAGTTCTGGGGCATTGAATGAGCTTGGCCTATTTTTCCATCATTTGCATTTCTGCAAACTCACCTTCATGTTGATCAAGGCAGGCCATTAATGGCCAGTGCTGGCCATTAATCAGTTCAGTTCCATTGCGATCTGTCGTGACTGTCGGGCCTTTGTTTGGCTGGTGTCTGACCCGGCCTCCATTTGCCCAGCAACTCGAATGCTGTCCATGCAGTTTTCGGGCAGTGGCCTAGCTCCGGCAGCTTGTGTCATTAGCTGCTTGTGGAGCACATGTCCAGATCCGTCATGATCTATTGTGACTGACAGGTTGTTGCTTGGCCAGGGACCAATCTGGCCTCTGTCTGCTCAGTAGTCTGGACCGCTGTCAGTGCGGTTTTTGGGTCATTAGCTAAGCTCTGCCAGTTTGTGCGTTAGCTGCTCTTTGTCCGCTCGTCCAGATCCGTTGGCTTCTATTGTGGCTGTTGGGCCTTGGCCTGGCTACCAACCACCCTGGATGCAGTTTGCCCAGTATCTGGAGATGGCCTTCAGTCTGGGCATTGGCCATGTGGCATACAATGGTGACACTTTTGTCATTCTGTGGCTTGGTATGTATCCTTATTTACGTTCAAGTGTGTTTAGCTAGGGGTTGGGAACAGAGGCTTGGTAGGTTTGGTGGGTCGTCTGGTCCCGCTTCCACCCTGTTTGTGGGTCCTTTGCCCTCCAAGCCCTTGGAGGTCTGGGTCTGGAGGTTGTCGCTCGCAGGGTTGTCATGGATACCCTATGTGCTCGGTTTAGTTTGCTTTCAGGCTCCACCATCCTTTCAGGCACCATTCCCCAAGCTCATTGATTGTTGATGAGTTTAACACTACTGTGGAGGCTGTCAATAAG